GGTAAGGTGGAGGGACAGAGAAAGAGAGGAAGACCCCCAACGAGATGGACTGGCCAAGTGGCAGCATCGATGGACTCAAGTGTGGCAACACTAGTGAGGTTGGCCCAGGATTGGGCAGTGTTTTGTTCTGCGTTGCATAATGTCACTATGAGTCGGTACCGACTCAATGGCATTTAATAAGAACAACAACAAAATCAGCCATACTAGCTTTACTGTTTTCAAGATGCACCAGGCAGTCTCTTGCCTTCGTTTCAACTTGATGCCTCCTGTGCCTGGACCATTCTTCCTTAAATCCATGTGGCTCATCTGCTTCCATCATTAAATACCTTCTTAAGTGATAGCACCTCCCAATCACTCTGTGCCTCCTTCTTGTATTGCCTTTCTTAGCCCTTGTCACCAACGAATAGGTTTCTTCTCTTCCTTCTTACTAACCCCATTAGAACATGAGCTTCATGAGAGCAGTATTACTACTCACTGCTGTATTCGAACATTTAAAACTGCCTAGCACATGGAAGGGTGGGTATCAAAATTTTTTGTTGTTTAAGGTTTAGCTAGTTGTGTAGTTTCCTAGGGCAACCGTAAGAAAGTACCACAATCTGACAACTACTGCTGCTGTGTTTTATCCCATTGCTGGTGGGGATCCTGTTTATTGTGGACACAGGATTGTTTATCTTGACCAAGTGGCAATTCAAATTGTTCTTGAAGATGAAGAGGACCAAAAGAGGCAACAAACATCTGAAACCACAACCTAATCCAGATCCCAAAGAGGATTGATGCCACCACTCAAGAGACATTTGCATCGACAGTTTCTTTCTGGCACAAACAATTTGTTTCCAGCATCAATCATTGCTTCTCCTTTCTTGATTCTGAAGGTCTCATTTCAAAACCTCTACATATACTTCATGCACAAGTCGGCAGTTCAAGCTCACCAGTTGCTCCTTGGAAACACTATACAGGCAGAGTTGCTATGAATCAGAACTGACTTGACAGTACTTAACAACAACATATACTAAAGCATATAGATCTTTACACAGGACTGCTTTCCACAAGCTCTTCCTACTCCTAGTTGATATTTATACTATGAGAAAAGGTTTTATATTACTCTTGGAGTAGAGAAAAGAATAGATAGGGATAGAAATAATGAGAGGCAACAAAGCAGGCAAACAATATTTGTAAAGCTCAACTGTCTCTTAGTCCTGAATATTTTGTTTGGTGAGCATTCTTCAGCTCCTTTTAGTTCCAGGTACAGAATGCCTATTTCCCTTCTTTTTAACCCAAGGATTCTCCCTAATGTCTAATAATTAGATTAAAAGTACAGTCAAACCAAAGGAAAAGAGACAATTCCTCTCCATTTGTTCTCTAGCTCACAATTTTCAAGTTTTGCTTCCACACCTATATCCCTAATTCTATCTGTGCTCTTTGAAAAATCTTAAAAATCCAGAAACGAGCCATGTTATAAAGTAGCATTGTTAAATACAGCTCACAACAGACATAGAGATATTTGTGCTGAAAACTTCACAGAACTGCTTCACTAAGCCAACTAAAAATGGTTAAGTTTCCTGTAATAGTAAGTGTGTAATAAATGGTTGAACAAACAGGAGAATAAATAGATTCATGTATTAGCATCTGTAAAATAAAAGTACAATTTGAAGAGAAAATAAATGAAGCCATGTAACATGGAAAAAAAAGAAAGTACCACAAATTATGTGACTTAAAACAGAAATGTGTTATCTTAAAGTTCAGAGGGCCTGAAGTTCAAGACCACTGGGTTGACAGCCCCTTGTGGGGACTCTGAAGGAGAATCTGTTCTGTGCTTCTCTTCTAGCCTCTGGGGCTGGCCAGAAGTAATTTTCATTCCTTAGCTTGTGGCACAGGAGCTCTGGTAGCATAGTGGTTATGAGTTGGGCTGCTAATCTCAAGGTCAGCTGTTCAAAACTACCAGTTCCACGGGAGAAAGATGAGGCTTTCTGCTCCCATAAAGATTTACAGCCTCAGAAACCTGTACAGGGTCGCTATGAGTCGGAACAGACTCCACAGCACATAACAACAACAATTAGCTTTTCCTAGTTGTCTGTAATCATAAATTAGGAACCTTTGGAAGCAGTAGAAATTCTTGTCGGTGCTTTAAAGATCTACTTTAAAGTAGTTTTTTTCCTGAAAGTTTTAGGTCCCAATCAGAGGATTGTTGTTGTTGTTGTTAAGTGCTGTCGAGTCAGATTCTGACCCACAGTGACCTTGTATAGGGTTTCCAGGGAGCAGCTGGTAAACTTGAACTGCAGGCCTCCCAGTTCAAGTGGACTTTGCAGTCCAGTGCATTTATCAACAGTGCCACACCAGGACTCAAATCAGAGAATTAGAATTGAGGAAACAGGGAATCTATGTTTCATTTTCAGTATTTCAGAAAGGTTAACGAAAACTGTACACCGACCCTAGTGAAGCAGGTCATTAAGTTAGTGTACACCCTCCTGGAGTGTATGAACTCAGTAACACTGGTAAACATACCATTCACATGTTCTGCTTGGTTGTTGGTATCTTCTTGGAAATTTCTGGGTTCTTAGAAGGGAAAAAATAAACACAAGGAAGCTTGTTAGATAGAAGACATGAAAGCACAGCCCCTGAAGAATAAGGAGATCATGTTTACCCTGTTTGTTCTGTTAGACTATAAAGTATGACTATTGGATATAAAAGGTAATTGACTTAAATTTGACCATAACTTATATAGTTGAATGTTTTTTCACTTACTAAATTGGTCCTTTCATTCAACAGGTATTATGCCTTGGAAGTTTCATATTTCAAATCCTCTTTGGATCGCAAATTGCTTGAACTTTTATGGAATAAATACTGGGTGAATACATTGAGCTCTTCTAGCTTGCTTACTGTAAGTACTATATTTTCTAAGCATTCACTAGAATTTTATCAAAGTTATATAAGTTGTTTCTACCTGAAGCTGACTTGGAAAAGCTAAACCAAGCCATTATCTGTTTCATGTACCATTGGGAACAAGTCTAAATGACAGGTAGCGTGGCCAAATCAGGGTGAGATCAGCCACTGCCTTAAAGAGTCTTACAGAGAAGAAAAATATATTGTGTTTTGTTATACCATACCAGGTAGGACTGTGGTTGCAGGTAGCAGAATACCCCACCAGACTGGCTTAAATCAAAAAGAGAATTGTGTAACCAGTAAATCCAGGAGTAGCCTTTACTTCAAGCACAGCTAAAGTTATATTCAAACAATATTATGAGGTCTTGCTTTTCCTCTCTCAGCTGTGGTTTTATCTTGGTTGGCTTTAGTTTGGGTTTCATGTGAAAACAAGATGGCAGCAGTCACTTCAGACCTCCCATCATCTCAGTTTTATATTCAAGAACCAGATGATCAGCCCCGCTTTTTTACCCCATGACTCATACATATGCACACGTGTTCCAGGCACAGGCTTGTGGTATGACTGGCTTTACTTAGGTCACATGCCCACCCACCCTCTTTGAGCCAAGGAAATGAACTGGATGAGGGGCTGGACCTAGGGCAAGTGCTCCATCCTTGGGCTGGGACTGAGGAGTTGGACTAAGAACAAAGAGTGCTCTCCAAAGAGAAGTAAGAATCTTAATTCCCATGTTGAGCTGTCCCCCCCAAAATAAAAAGATATCAGTTGAATATTTTATTTCATATTTGTTTGTTGTTGCTAACTAAGTGCCATGGAGTCGGTTTCAACTCATTGTGACCCTGTATAGGGTTTGCGAGGCTTTTTACATCTTTTTGTGGGAACTGAAAGCCTCATCTTTCTCCTGCGGAACAGCTGGTGAACTCGAACATTGGCCCTTGTGGTAGTCCATGCTTATCATATGTATTAAACTAATTTCTCTATCTACAGTTTAATGAACAATAAAATTTGGTTGATAGTAATTTTTTTTTTTTTTAAAGGCCATTTCATATAATGTAGTATAACATGGTGGTTAGAGCCATGAGGTTTGGAATAAAACCCACGGTTTGAAAGCACCTCTCTGACTTTACCAGCTGTGTAGGACTCTCAGGGAGTTCTTTCACGTGCTGTGGCTTTCTTGAGTGTCCAATAGTAAGAATACTCCATATACATTGCCATGAGTCAATTCTGTCTCATAGTGATTTTGTAGAATGCAGTAGAACTGCCCCATGTGGTTTCCGAGGGAGTAAATAGTTAAAGGAGCTGAATGCCTCATCTTTCCCCTGTGAAGCTGATGAGTGGGCTCAGATGGCAGAACATCTGGTTAGCAACTGAGCACTTAATCACTGTGTCATTAACCAAGGTATGTTTTATAAAGTAAGGAACACAGTGCCTGGCATATCATAAAGTGCCAATCTTTTTTTTTTTTTTAATATTTTTTTAACCTGGTACATTATACTCATAGGGAAAGACTCCATTTGAGCCTGTTTAGTCTGATTTAAACACAAGTGTTGCAAATTTTCTTTACATTTTTCCTTATTGTGCAGTAGGTTAAACATAGGGCTGCTCACCTAAAGGTGATGGTTCTAACCCACTAACCTTCTCTGAGGGAGAACCATGTAGCAATCTGATACAGTCTCGGAAGTCCTATGGAGCAGTTATCCTTAGAAGTCAGAAGTAGATTAGCAAGGAGGAGAGTGATCATAATAGTTAACATTAAGTGCTTCCCTTGCTCCAGACACTAAAATACTTGACGTTACTTGATGTGGGCTGTTTCGTTAGATGCTGGTATACCAATAGCAGCAAAAAGTGACTTCTGATGGCAAAGGGAGAAAAACATTTAAAAGACAAGAGCAGTCTGAACCTTAGTGTGGAGGCAAGCAACTCCATCTCCTCAGCCCTGTAGCTTTGCCTGTCTTCCAACACTGCATATATGAGGGTGGTAATCATCAAAAGGAGCCTTGGGGTAAACACTGGACTGCTAACCACAAGGTTCAAACCCACCAGCCGCTCCTTGGAAACCCTGTACAGGGTCACCATGAGTCAGAATTGACTTGATGGCACTTAATAACAACAACAATAATTAAACACTTAAATGACATTTTCCCCTTTTTGTGTATTGTTGTTAAGTGTTGTTGAGTTGTTTCTGACTCATAGTGACACTGTATACGGTTTCCAAGCAGTGGCTGGTGAGTTTGAACCACCTACCTTGTGATCCAGTGCATTATACCACAAATAATAAGTTAGGGGCTACAATAAGTTCATGGCACACAATTCAATTATCTTCTGATTCCATTTTTCTCCAGGCTTTGAAGCCCCTGCATACGTTGTACTTTGCAGCACTTTAAGGAAAAAAATATGTAAATATATGCCCAACTTATTTTTTTCCTTTTGCAAACGTAACTTAAACTACCAGAAAAAGTTATTTTCTGACTTAAAATTAGTTCACTATATTTGAAAAGTAACTGGATGTATTTCTATTTTCAATCTAATATTAAAACTGTTTCTTCTAACCTACAATTTTATGGTTTAAAGCTAATGATTATGAAGTGGTCTGTAAATCTGCGGGAGTTTTGTATGTTTGTGTGAATTTGCATACTATGGTAGGTTGTGTGATACTGTGATGCTGGAAACTATATTACCAGTATTTTAAATACCAGCAGGGTCTCCAGTAACTAAGACAGACTAGGAAGAAGGAAAGGCAGATCACTTCTGAAGGCCTTGCCTCTTAAAACCTCATGAATATCAGCAGAACACTGTCTGATAGATATTGTGCTGGAAGATGATCACTTCAGGTTGGCAGGCACTTAAAATACAATTTGGAAGAGCTGCCTCTTCAACATAGAATTGACCATAATGATGTGGATGGAACAAAACTTTTGAGACTTTCATTTATTGATGGGGCACAACTCAAAATAAGAAGAATCAGCAACAAACATAAATTAACAATTGAAACATGGAGTGTACGAAGCATGAATCTAGGAAACTTGGAAGTTGTCAGAAATGAAGTGAAATACATAAAGATCAATATCCTAGGCATTTGTGAGTTGAAATGGACTGGTATTGGCCATTTTGAATAAGAGAACCATAGGGTTTTTCTGCCAGGAACAACAACTTGAAGAGGAAACATTGCATAGTGTCTCAAGGTCTGTCTTGAAGTACAGTGCTGTCTGATAGGATAATATCCATATGTCTGGTGTGGCATGGTAGGATCAGTACTGGACTGAGCACCACAAGGTCAGCAGTTCAAACCCATCAGCTTGGAAACCCTGTATGGGACCGCTGCAAGTCAAAACTAACTCGACACCTCTTAACAACAACAAGGAAGACCAGTTAATATCACTACATTCAAATTTACACACCAACCACTAAAGCTAGTAATGATGAAATTAAAGAATTCTACCAATTTCTTTAGTCTAACATTGATCAAACATGCAGTGAAGATACATTGATTATTACTGGGGGTTAGGATTTGAAAATGGAAACAAAGAAGAAGGATCAGTAGTTGGGAAATACGACCTTGATGTTAGAAACAGTGCTAGAGATTCCATGATACAGTTTTGCAAGACAAACGACTTATTCATTGCAAAAAAATCTATTTTCAGCAAGTTAAAAGGCACCCTCACCAAGTGGAATACACAGAAATCATATTGACTACATCTGTGGAAAGAGGCAATGGAGAAGCTCAGTATCATCAGCCAAAACAAGGCTAGGGGCAGACTGAAGCAGACAAGTTCAGGCTGAAGATGAAGAAAATTAGAACAACTCTACAAGAGCCAAATTATGACCTTGAGTATATCCCACCTACATTTAGAGACCATCTCAAGAACAGACTTGATGCATTAGACACTAATGACCGAAGACCAGAAGATTTATATTTATGGAGTGAGTCAAGAACATACACAAAGAAAACTAAACTAAATGTCATTAAAAAGACAGGAAAGAAAGAAAACACCAAAATGGTTGCCAGAAGAAATGCTGAAACTTGCTCTTGAACAAGTGACAAAGTGACAGACAAGGAGAAATGATGAAGTAAAAGAGCTGAACAAAAAATTTCAAAGGTCAGCTTTAGAAGACAAAGTCAAGTATTATATAATGAAATGTGCAAAGTCTTGGAGTTAGAAAACCAGAAGGGAAGAACACACTCAGCATTTGTCAAGCTGAAAGAACTGAAGAAAAAATACAGCTTTTGACAGCACAACTATAGTGGGCAAAATATTGAATGATGAAGGAAGCATCAGTAACAACCTGCAACATGCTTGCTGGAAAAGAGGACTTAAAATACTTTATGATGGGGATCAAAGAACAAACCTTCAATATGGATTACATTTCAATGTAAAGAAAACAAAAATCCTTACAAATGGACAAATAAATAACACCATGATAATTTTTTTTATTTTGAGGAAAGATTGAAGTTTCAAAGACTTCATGTTGCTTGAATCTACAATTATTCATGGAAGTAGCAGTCAAGAAATCAAACGACATAACGCATTAGGCAAATATGCAGCGCAAAGAGCAAAGATAGCAGTTTGAAAGTGTACCTGACTCAAGCCGTGGCATTTTAAGTTACCTCATATGCATGTGGATAATGAATAAAGAAGACTGTAGAAGAATTGATATATTTGTGATATGGTGTTGGAGAAGAATATTGAAAGTGCTATGAACTGCAAGAAGAACAAACAAATTTGTGTTAGAAGAGGTACAGTCAGAATGTTCCGTAGAAGCCAGCATGGCAAAACTTCGTCTCTCATACTTTGGACATGTTATCAGGAGGGACTAATCCTCAGAAAAGGACATTATGCTTGGTAAAGTGGTCAGCGTAAAAGAAGACAACCCCCAATGAGATGGATTGGCACAAAGGCAACAGCAGTGGGCTCAAACATAATGAAAATTGTTAGGAGAGTGCAGGACTAAGGCAGAATTTTGTTCTTTTGTACATAGGGTCGCTAGGAGTCAGAACCAACTAAGAGGCACCTAACAACAACATGAGCATAAAATTTATTGGTGCCCTAAACCATTTAGATTCAGACAAAATAAATGTTGCTTCTTTTAAAAGTATTACAAGCCTGTAAAACATTGGGAGCTTGATAGCATTTTAAAGAGTCCTCAGTAGTATTTGTAACCACAGCACAAACTTTTCATATTTGGTGCTAGAACTGTATTTCCTGTGCAGTTTTGCAAGGTGAGCAAATAGGATACCATACCATGCTCATTTTTGCTACCTTGTTTATTCAGTTTTCGCCACCTTGTTTATTCTGTTGAAGATTTGAAAAATATATATACTTAATAGCTATTTTTGCAAAATATATATATATTTTAGTTTTATACTGTAACAGCTAAGAAAATAATACCCCATAAAAGTCACTTTAAAAATGCTTTATGCAATAATACAGAAAAATGATCACAATATACTGTTAAAAGGACAAATTATAAGGCAGTATATATTATTCCAATTCACCAAATCTAAGTTATGGATGAGCATATATCAAGCAATTTACTAAAATATAATCATGATATCAGATATGTAGAGAGATTATCATTGTGTTTATTTTCTTTATATTCCTTATTTTGTAAATATGTTGCTCTCTATTTTCTAAAT